CTAATTTCTTCGCGGATGTTCCGTCTCCACTTTGTAATAAATTACGGATAGATTTCAGAACATTTTTGGACACCACATCGCCTGAATAAATATTCATGGCGAAAGAACGCACATGGCCTCTTGCGCCCGCAATACCTATGTTACGGGAAACCGCTGAAAAAGCATGGCGGCGAAGCTTCGCACTGATCTTAGCTGTAAAACGTTGTGGTAGATTTATAATAACAGGAAAATCGGTTTTATACTTCAAAAGCAGCGGAAAGGTAAAAAGTAAGTGACCAATTGGCGGGCGGCTTTGAATTTTATTTTAATCGATTTGGATGAAAATCAAAGTTATTCTTTGTACAATTAACTTATCGTGGCATGAAATAGTTAATCGTCCGCTGGCGACCAGTTGTGAAATTCTGGTCGTCAGTGCAAAATTTTTAGTCGCACTGGCGACGAGGAAAGCGCAGTTTCGGACCCTGAGTCAATGACGGTATGTGGCTACTGCTGTTATTTAGAACATTGCAGTAAAACAAATCATATTGCAATAAAACGAGCTAAATACGAAAACGTTTTTGGACTTGACGCTTATTAAAACACGTGACTACTTGTTTCACAAGACTTGCCCAAAACAAGAACAAACTATGGAATCTTCAATATTAGATATCAGGGTGCTAAGATCTGGAATGCTATCAGTGATAACATTAAGTTTCTATCACTGAAACAATTTAAGAAAAAGTTCAAATCAAGCATTACTGCAAGTTATTAACTGAATTAATTGTACAATAGTTGTACAATACAATTCCTTTCTTCCGTTAGTTAATCTGCCTACATACTTTATTTTCCTGCTTATTTTCGCTACATTTTATTTTAGTTTAGACCTAGCTTTCGTCTGTGTGTTTGTGGGTTGTTGTATTTGTCATCTTAATAAGTCTTAAGTACCTGACACCATTAAAAATTACTGTATTTAAAATGCTAAGGATGGAAAATTAGAACTTCGATTTTGTGGGGAATTATTGACGAACCAATGTTCTTACCAAGTCCTAAGGAAAATCTGCATTGACGATAGTTTAGCCAAATTTTTTTCGCTAGTAGTTGAAATATACTTAGCAGTGTTAGCAATCGCCAATTCTTTTAGAAAACTATGTCTGACAGCTAAAGAAAATCATGTTGCGTGACACGAACAAGACGAGTACGAAACCAAAATAAAAGCAAAACAGAATGTCGCATCTTCCTTATAAATGAGTTTCTTTTTAAAAATACTCCTACCTTGATTCAATAAAAATAGGTAGCTTGAATATTTCTTCATAAACTGCGTTAAGGGTCGCAAAGTTATCCGCAAAGTCCCGGAAGTTATCCGCAAAAAACGCAACTTGAAAGCTTATGCAAATTAGGGGCAATGTAATTTGACGCCTTGTCATTAGACTTTCGTTTTCCCAAAGGAGTTTATCATGATTCGTTTTGGCTCTCTCGAAAGAGATTATTTGCTCTCCAAAGGAGATATGACATTTGAAAAGGGTTTAAGGTCGCAGTACGGCAAAGATGTTCAGCTGCACAATTCACTTGGATCGCCACGACCTCGTACAATTTCTGCTAGCATGTACAATGTAATCGCCATAAGACGGTTGTAAGAAGACCGGAAAAATTCTTTGCAAACAAGTTCTCCATAAATGCGCAGACAGCTGTGCTTGATTCTTGAACCAAAATGGTTTAAACTCACAACTTGCGATTGGATCAGGAGGATACTCAACGAAGCAACAAGTGAATAGTAAATATCTAAGCGGAACTCTTTTGCTAAAATATCCTGCTTCTTTTATTTGTTTTTGTTAAGTCCAGTACGCGTACTCGTAACGAAGCCCGAGTACGCTCTTAGAGCGTCTAGTTCGTCCGAAATTCGTCCGAAATCAGATAAAAAGTGTCCGAAAATTAAACCTGCGAAATAAATCATACGAAAGTTTATCGTCCGAAATTGTTTTACAAGTAATATAGTACACATTTGCCCGCAGGCTACCCATAATACCGATTACAATCATTGTGCTCTTATCAAACAGATCCTGGACGTTGTTGCATTGCAAGTTTGCCTTGAAGCACTAAGCCCATCCGCTGAAATTTTGCTGAAGACAGAATCCAGGCGAGCTTGGTGTGACAAAGTATTGTCCATCAGATCAGCGGTGGAAGACATGATGAGAAAAGAGAGGTTTGGACCCGTCACAGAGATGTGCTCAAATTTCGGAGAGAAATCCACAGTATTGCTTGGCCACTGCAGGTAACTTGGTGTCCGTTCAGCCCTGCTATCGAGGAAGGAATAAGTTAAAGTTAATATCACTTTTCACTTTTTCAATCGACGATAAGAGTTGTTTGGTGTTCATTATTTGATCGATTGAGGGTTTTTGCTTTCTGGTGTTCCGCTTTTCCTGTCTTATTCCTGCAAATGTTGGGATTTCATTCCTCTCAGTGTAATTCGTTGGGTATTCATCTATTTCGTTTAGCTTTGACGTGGTGTTAGATGTTTACTACATTTTCTGTGTGCTAGATCCATGTGGCAGCGACAAGGAGCAGTCAGACTGTTTGTAGAGCACGTGACCTTGTTTAACGAGCAAGATGATAACACCAATTCTGAGAGTGTGGTCAGACTATGGAAGGTAAAATGTCTTGTTATATGTTAATTAAAGGCAAACGCCTCAAACAAAAAAAATCGATGAACTGCGCGCGGAGACACCTGGTATTTATACACCAATTTCAACGTCCCTTACAACAACAACAACAACAACAACAAACTTCTTTTAAACACGATAATAGTGCCAGTAAGTTGATCCGAAACTCCGAGCAAGAGAGAACATGTTTATTCACCGAAGGCAAGAAGCAAATACGAAGCAAACGAACCAGGCAAGAGCGGTAACAAAGGTAGCGAGCTAATTATCCAGGAACTGTGAGACAACAAGGCTAACTAAACAACAGTGTACGTACGAAGGAAACAATGAAGCAAACTAAACGACAGCGTGCACAATGCGCAATGCTATGCGAGCTAATGGCGGGAACTAAACAACAATGCGAAATATGGCGTGACTTCTTCTTTCTTCCTTTCGCCTAAGTAGATGAGCAATAAACACAAAGCAAAGCTAGGCTGCGTATTGGTAGTAAACATGCAGTTACAAAGAGCCAGAGGTTAATGCGTAAATTAAGTATTACAACATTGCCGAGTACAAGGGGAGAGTCATTCATGGATCTCGTAGGGACAGCTAAGTAACATAGTCCTGGAGGTAATCCGGGCGACGAGTTGGACGGCTAGACCGGCGTGGACCAGATGAGAAGGCAGACTCCGAGATAGGGGCTTCAATGTCGTCAGACACGCTGCCGTCTAGGGGAGGAGAAGATTCGGGTACAGGAGGAGTGTCAGTCTGAGGGTCTGGTGGAGCAGCGAGGAAGGGAAGGGTGGTCCAGCTTCACGTGCAGGGCAGCAAGGAAGCCATCAACGACAGAGCGCTGGATGACTAAACATTCGCGAGACGCATCGAAAGGTTTATCGCGTTTTACAACGAGGAGGTCGTCACGGGAAATGGAGAGCAAGTTCAGGGAACGCTTGACGTCTTTGATGTTTGTCAGCTTCTTCGACGGGCGGGTACCCTGCTTAAGATGAGAGTGGACGCGCCTCAAGTCCGGGCACTCTGGCTACGATTGGGGCCAGGCGGAGCGGCTCGTTAAAAGGAAGGGACGTCTTCCCCGGTAACACATTATGAACAGATATGGGACGTACAGGCAGGTCTTCCGCTTCGGATACAAATGAACAGATTTGGCAGCGAGGTTTGTCGCAAGCTGGTGCGCTATGACTAGCGAAGTCAGAAGGCAGGTTCGTGGAACCGGCCAGATGGAGCGGTGTGACTTGGTAACGGCTAAAAGATGATAAGAATGGAGCCACTCGATGACTGGAAGAAAACCGGCCACGGCAGAGCTTGTCAAAGACTTGGACACACGGCTTGCTATCAGTCAGACTTCGGTTGAATTATTACAGCGGCCTCAATAGATAATGCCTCTATTTCACATGGCAACCAGGAAGCTTGATGTTTTTTAAGCTTGGCACTGAATTATCCGGCGAGATGGAGCTCCTGGTCACGAAGTACATATAGAATGGTGCCAAGGCCACTCATCTTGACAGAACCATCGGTTGCGATCCAGAGCTGGGCATCGGGCCTGGGGAGAGTGATGGATCTGTGAGACGTGAGTGCTTCTTGACAGGAGCGGAAACACACCAGGAGCTCATCAAACCAGGCGATCGTATCCTGAGATTGACGACCAGCCGTAAGGGAATCGGGAGGAGCGAGGAATTTAATTAGCAGCTCTGCCAAGGATCCGACCAAGCGTTTTGTGGGAACCAGCAAAAGCACGGAAATTGCGGACGTTCTTGGGAGGCTCGCAAGAAGCCAGTGCAGCTACAAGGTGGGGAGATGCACGAATCGAGCCTTGGGACCATATCCAACCGAGAATGGTGGTTGAAGCTGGGCAGATTATGGTTTTGCAGGTGAGAGGCGAAGGTTGCAGCAAACCAGAGCCGAGAGGGCTTTTCGCCAGTTTGTTAGGAGCTCCTGATGAGTGATACTACCGCAATACAAGTCATTAGCAATCTTAGCAACACAACCCTCCTGAAGACGATCATCCGGGACGCGGCACATTAGCTCCTCGAGGGCCGTCTCAGAACCGGGAACTCCCATGGCGCAGCGCGTTTAGACACGAACACCTTTGAAGGGTGTAACCACGCCACAATACTTCGTGGAGTTTTTTGCGAGGGGATTTGGTAGAACGCCTGGGACAAATTAGAGACTATTGTCTACTTCCAGCAGGCAATCTTGAGTAGGGTGAGGTCCACGTCCAGCATTAGTGAGGGGTGAGGCTTGCTATAGCGGCTATAGCGGGACGTTGTTCAGGCTTCAGATAAATGTTCGCGAGGTCCAAGAAACAGGAACCGGTTAACTGCAAGCCATAATGTTGCCGGATCGTTTGCCAAACGCCGGTAATAGATGCAGAACTCTTGACGATTGATTTCCAGGAAATTATAGGGGCGTAATTCGCAATTTGTCCTAGCATCATTTCCAAATTTGTTACCTTTTGAGCAGCTATTCTCACTGCATATATAATTATCGTATCGCGATAACGCGCCACATTCCGCTAATCCCTAGTGTCTAGGTTAGTGGCGTCTAGTATGATCCTTTGCGGCCTTTCGAACATAAAATCTGGCCGCGCAGTGCGAGATCTCGCAGTT